CCCATCCCAAGTGAACGAGGCCGCTGAGGTGATGGATGGCTCGTGAAACTCAATTTGAGTAGTATAGGGTTCAGTTGGTCACGGTTCTCTAGGGTTCGTTCGCCACGACAAATTTCCTCCACATAATGAAGTCTGTGCATTTCAGAGGCTCATCAATGCTGATGGTGATAAGTATCTCACAGCTGAGCAGTACAATGAGAAGATGGTCACGCCTGGCGAGTAGCCTTGTTGGTCGGACATAATTTTCAATGGCCCTTGGAAGGGCACTAACGACATCTCTTTTTATTCATGCCGATATGAAGGGGTTGAGTTGAGTCGTTATTATGAGCAGTAGTAGGAGTGTCGAGTATGCTTCTCATCAGGGCTTGCAGAATTCAATGTCTGGTTACAATCCCCCCGAGAGTAGCATGCTCACTCGAGGTGCTATCAGTCGTTTGCCGACTATGAGCCCAAATGAGCTTAATGGGTAGGTGCACGGACGGTAGGGACCTCGCACTTCAATTGTTTCTAGCAGTAGTGATTCTATCAAAGTTAAGTCGATGCATGCCCTCCTCGCCATTGCTTTCTCCCTTATTTGTCTTTCTTCTCCTATTTCCACTGTATGTGTTATCATCAAGCTCATCCACGGTCTGGATATACATGGCTCTAGTTGAATCTATCGAACGTCTCCTCATCGTGCGGCCTCTATCAGGTACCATCCAATCCTTCAGATCACGGCTGTAGCAGCTATGGGTACAGCCGACAACGGGACGAGAAGGCTACGTGTTGTGGTCTCTGATGGGATGTAGGTTGTCTCTGTCTTCTCCTTGGTCATTGTGTGTCAGCCATTGCTCAAGTGCAATGCCGTTTGGACATCTCTTACCGGGTAATGTACAATTCCGACAGTACGCGCTGGTAGGCGGGTGGAAGCCTTGCAACCTCACAATTCCTCAACAACCCAAGTATGGTAATCTTCTTGTCAGTGTCGATGTACGTTCTCCTCTGCCAATGTGAAGGGTAAACACGTATTCCTAATAAAGGATTGCGAAGAGGTACTCGAGAGGACTCGCTGGGGATGTTTTCTCCTATGGGCTAATATCGTTTCGTTGGCTCCTCTCCAGGCGATTCACACCTCTATGAAAATTCTCTTTATTTTTAGGGCACTCATAGTCTTCAGTGTGAACACCTCTTTACAGATTCTTTATGTCCTCTTTCAGGTGTGCCCGCCGCTACGCGATGCTATAGGAAACCCGGTAATCTATCGTCCGAGCTCAGCGACGACGATGCCTAATAATGCTGCTAACGAGAATGTACCGTCTCATGGGGTGAGTCCTATCTCGTTGGATCATCATCATCATCGTTACGGATCTCATCTTGTAGTCTAATAGTATTTGAGGAGGTCTTCCCTTCAGAATGGTATGGCTCAGCCAGCTGGACGTGGTTCACAGTTGCAGCAGTACCCCACGCTCGATGTCCCAACAACGACTGGGGGGTACCCGCAATACGGAGGGTCTGCTACTACCACAGTAAGCTCCCCTATGTTACTTGTACGGGAGGCGTCTTGGGTGTAGACGGGGTACCAGCAGCAAACACAACATCAATATCAGCAGCCCCCCAGTGGTGGTGGTAGCAGTAGTGGAGCAGGGTCCTCAGGGGCATCGGGTGGAAGGCAACTGCCAACTTTTATGGAGCAGCAACAACAAACACAAAATCCGCATAAAGTCACTGGACCACCACTACGGGCGAATCCGACGAATCCTTACCAGGTGAATCGTCGGCATATAGTATATGCCATATACCATCCTTCCGCCACATCGTGCCATTTCAGCAACATAACAACCAGCAGCAACCCGTGGGCGGTGGGATGCTCAGTCGTCACCAAACAGTCTCCTTGGGTGGTAACACTCAGCAGCGACCTATCGCAGGAGCCGTCCAACCCGGTCGCCCACAACCGCCGCATCAGCAGCAGCAGCACTACGGTGGACCTCAACAACCACACAGTAGTGGTAATAAGGCACTCATCAAGGACTTCCGAATGGATATCCTGGTCCCTTGTTAGGTCCCGTGTCGTATCGTCCTGTCGCTAGTGATATCATCCCGATATCACAGCTCAGCGTGTACTCACAGAAGTAGGAATATCCAGAGTGGTACCATCCTCAGCTGCTACTTGCTATCAGGTGGACCATCAAGGGTAGAGTGTCGAGCAAATCGGACGTACGAACCTTCGTCAACGCTCGAGGAGAAGGACAGCTGTTCTCAATCGAGTTAGTCGATGATCAAAACGGCGAGATTCGAGCGACCTTCTTCAACAGCGTAAGTCCTCCCTGGTCAGTTCTCTCGCCACTTGCTGGTGTGTAGGCTGTCACTAAGTTCTACCCTGCTATCCAACAAGGCAGAGTGTATACTTTCAGTAAGGGCCAAGTGAAGCAAGCCAATGCTAGGTTCAATCCAGGAGCAGCCTATGAGGTAACGTGATAACCCTGAGTAGATGATGAATGCCTTTATCAGCTCACTTTCAATGATGATGCCATTATTGAGGAGGCCAACGACTCAGCTGATATACCGCGGATACTGTATAAGTAGGATAAGTGCTTACAGGCTGGAGAGATGAGGACTACTTACTGTCAGGATATCAAAGATCGCTACGATTCAGGATCGCAACGCTGATGAGTTCGTTGATCTATGTGGTATCATCACGCATTGCGCTCCAATCTCTACGGTACTACAGCTATCGTCAACCTCTACCATTCTTGAGGCGTATCATCATTATAGTTGTGTAAGTCCTGCTATGCTTCAGATTGTGGTGAGGAATACTGGACAGGAGAGGGCACGACGAAATTTCACCATAGTTGACGATAGTGGTTGCTCTATTGAGATGACGGTGTGGGGAGAGACGTAATGACGTCACTCATTCGGGGCTGGGAAGATGCTGCTTGTAGGGCCCAGAATTGCGGAGTGGACGAGAATAGAGTGCAGTATCATCCTGTTGTGATGATAAAGAACGTACTCAATGCGCTAGGACAGTCCAGAATGTTCTGCTCTGTTTCCCAGGCTCGTATCAGTAACTATGGTGGGAAGAGTCTTACGACTGCCTCTACCACCACTTTGGAGGTGGATCCTGACGATTCTCGGGCTTTTGAGGTCAAGAATTGGTGGCTGCAAGGGGGACAGACAGGTAGGGGAATAGGACGAGACTCATCGATGGCTAATGCTATACGCATTTTTATATGATGACTACTACTGTACATGTATTTATAAGGTGCGGTACAAGCCTTGTCGAGTGGAGGAGGTGGTGCTGGAGGGAACGCTCCTAAGACGGTTATTGAGTAAGCTGCACTTTGGCATAGTACGACCGCTCTGTATCACTGCATAGCTTGGAAATTGGCATCTATAAACTGTTTCGGAATCACACTGATCACCGGACTGGCGGGGTTCTGTTTTATTCCTTCCTGTTCTTCCCTTTCCAGCGTCATGAGGATGGACAACAACCTCTACTTGAGCCTCTCTGGCCAGGCATCATCGGATGTCCCCAATTCACGTCCTGTCAATACCCACAACATTCCGCGCGCAACAGTAGCGCAGATCTACAAGTCCAACGACAAAGTAAGTGATCCTCTCTGTGAATCGAGCATCGTCCACGTGGCTATCTTAACACCGTATAGTACCCTCCTTCTGTTGATACTATTGGACGTTGTCCTCAGCCTCTCTACTATACAAGTTGCATAACGGAGATACCTGATGGTCGTGGCGGTATACGTAAATGCAGCAAGAAGGTCGAGCAGGATATCTCTACAGGGACGTGGTCATGTGAGTACTACTCTTGCTGAGTTCTTCGAAATACACCACCACAGATAGATGAAGCTTCCAGCTGTTCATGTGAGAGTCCCTGTTTGTGTAGGTATTGAAGGCCATCAAAATCCGCAATGCATGCCAAGGTACATAATCAGTATCAAACTAGCCGATATATCCGGTACACTCTTTTTGGCATGAAATCGCGGCTCAACGACTATCATCATTCAGGTGAAGTGATGGTGAGGGCATTTGATGAGCAGGCCCAGGCTCTGCTCGGGGTGAGATCGGCAGTTCCTTGCTTTGATGAAATGGTAATCTCGGCAGGTATCGGCGCAAGATATGATGAACGGTATGGGGGAAGATGAGATTGAGACTCTCATCAACAACACTCAATTTAAAAAAATTAATGTAAGCAACTGGTCTCGTACACCTCGATCTCAAATGCGACGGATGAGAACACAAATGGCCGCAGCCGTTTGTTGGATGTAAATCCAAATTAAGATTGAAAGTTCCACTTCTGTAAACACTAGGAGAATGGGAGTTTGAATTCGTAGGTGAAGCTCTTGGGAGATCTTCGAAACGCATGCCCGAATCCGCAGTAGAATCTGCTTGTCGGCAACTGTGTGGTAGGTACGGCTCCGATCGAAAAAGGAGGTGTACACCGATGAGGAACGTGTGAATGTATCGATGACTGACTTCACTCCAATAACCGACCAGATCCTCCAACAGGATGCCCAGCAAATGATGCAGCAGATCGAGACGTGAGTGCTGGTGCCGGCATCAAAGTGAACCATTTGGTCGGCAGATATTTGCAGAAGGTCGATCCCAACAACGGGTCAAGAAATTGATATTTATTATGCGTTGAGAATTGAGAGTTTCAATTATGATATCAGTTCATTATTGGGTTGTTTAATTAGAGTACTCACACTTCCCGCATGTGATCCTTAGCTCGCCTTTGTTGGATACAGGAGCTTCACAACCTGGAGCGTTGCCTGGAAATTTTCTAAGGTACCGTCGATCGAAGTCGTCGAGTTGGTGAATGGAATAGCCAGCATACCGCGATAACAGATGGATACAGCTTGTTCCCTTCGGCATTGTCTATTCGAGCTCCAGAATATAGGGGTGCAAATATTGTATAAATAGTGTGGGGAAACTTTTCCTGGAAAAGTGTCGATGAACCGGCGTGGTTGTAGATCTCAGTGATGTCGAAACCAACTAGATCATGTGGGCTGTTTCCAAGGAATTCGCGCGTCGCGACAAGCAACCCTTCTCTGTCTTGTGGAACGGTGGGCGATCAAGAGGTCATTGCTACATAGCTCATCATCGCTCAGCGGGTTACATCATCCTGACATTACTTCTCTCGTGCGCACTGGTCGTTACAGATGCGTGTTTTATGACGTTGTATATTTCCGTATAAATGGCGACTGTTCGCCCACGTGGGTCTTCCCCGTTAGGCGGATAGATCGGGTTTTTTCTCCTACTATTTTTACTGAGTGGCATTTGGTTTCAGAGCTCAGCCCTAGGTGATGAACTCTCAATGCGGGTAGTACGGCTACAGGACTTGGATTCTTCGTTCAATGATCCCTATCGAAGGACCAGGAAGGAGCGCCACTATTGTTTTTGATGACAGCGATGAGTTCTTCGATAAGTACGGATCTTACGAAGACTACCTCGATGCGCAAATCACCGAAAAAGATACGTAAGAGCACAGTTAAACATGCGCGACAGATGCCGTTTCGATCTGTGTTTCATTATGTGGATTTTCATCAAGCCTGGGAAGTCCCGTCCTTGTATCCGCAGATTTTACCTGGGAGGCACCAAACTTGCGCGTCAGCTTGTGGAGCTTGGTTGTAGGAGAGGAGATGTGCGGAGAACCACAGTGATGTCTGAGTTGACTGAATCTACTTGATCCCAGGTTATGTCTCGGGATGAGTTCAACGAGAAGCGCGAAGCCGCGGAAAGGGAAAAAAGGCGTCAATTACAAGGCATGGTTAAGGTCTGTTGGAGGCTCCACTGCCATGTAGTCGTCAGTGATGAGACACTGGAGAGTTAGGTGCTTGCCTCTGCGAACAAGGACCTCACTGCCTTCCCCACTCTAAGGTCATGCGGAATTGGGGTATACATCACGAGGAAGTGTTGACTGTCAGACACTTGGCAGCTAGGGAGGAGATGGCCAGGAGTGGAAAGATCTCTTGTATCATCTTCATCCGCGATAAGAACTCTAAAGGGCAGGAAATCAGCGGATACATCGACTACGGTCACAGGCTGAGGACGGATGACTTCGAGGCTTACTTCTCAAGTAGTATCATCCCCTTCAACTTGTTCCGGACTCGATACGAGCGAACCTTACATATCATCGTCTTCCGAGATTGGTGCTGCGAACCATGTGACAATCAGGAGAAAAACGTATACTACCACGGCCCACTGACCTGTGTTTCTACAACTGGGAGACTCAACGATGTAGGACCACTCCCAAGATCTTCGAATTGAAGCAACACTACAGTATTCCATCTGACAGGTACAGCCAACGAAAGTCCCAATTTCCAGGTTCTCCCGGACACAAAAATGGGCCTGTTATTCAGGGTGAGCTTCCACTGCGTGGTATTCGAGGCAAGTATCAGCGTGTCAGAACAAGAGAGATCGGAAGCTGATAGATGTCAATCCGGAACGTGATCCTGGAGACAATTCGGAACGTCACGACGTCACGTGAGAAGCTTGGGTGGCGGTTAAGTCACTTCCTGCTCAACTCAGGACAAGTGAGTACCTCCAGGTAGTTTTCTTTGACCACATGCCCAGAAGGAAAGCATGAAGTATCGTTGGTTCATCCGTTCCTGTCGAGTTACTCAGTGTACAGCAACGTGATGCTCAGAACAATGAGTTACTCAGTCATATCATGTAAACCTTCATATTCGAGAACATTGAGGGAACTATGTGGTGGGGGAACCAGTGGAGTGCTAGTGCACTGAGTTCGAGCAAACTTGCACATGTGGCCCCTATTACAACCCTCTGCTCCTTCTGATCAAACTATTCACAAATCTATTCGGAGAATGGGGCCGCTATGCCACCGGTTTAGAGTTCCCCAGACGCGAGTGAGTACATTGAGCCCTTGGATTTGGATGAGAGCATCTCACTAGAGGGAAAAATACACTGTGCAGCTACACATTCTTACATGGTATTTCTTTTTCGTGGGTGAGGACTTCGTTTACATGGCCAATAAAGACAAGGACAACAACTTCTTCGAGGAAAATTCTACCTACGGGTACTATCGAAGAATTCAGTTTCGAAACTCCATGGAGAGTGTCACTAACAACGCAACCAATCTATAATGGATATCCAACATCCATGATTCCATTTTATAACACTCATGATCCAGCTCCGCGTCCCGCAGGTGCTTCTTCTGCAAGGGTTGCCCATTCCTCAGGGAAAAAGTAATCTCTGCATGGATAATCTCCCCTCCGCTACTGTGACTAACTCGACTTACGGCAGGTGGTCCTCGTTCTCTCGTATATACTCGACTAGGCGATCCTTCAACGATTCCTTCCAAGATGATGGTAACCTCTCCTCCAGTTGAGAGACGAGCTGATAAACATTCCTAGTTTAGTACACTGTGTTGCCAGCAGCTACCTCGTCTGTCACGCTCTGGTCCTTCAGTGACCTTTCATCATCACCGCTACTCAATATAGTTCTAACGGTCGAAAGGAGTTCTGCTTTCCCGCTCTTTGTCAGAGAAGCGGTGAAAGACGTGAATCTGAGGTTTTAGCAGAAGGATTCGAGGCATTACCACACACGGTGATGGAGGTGCTGTTACACCACTAGAGTGCGCAGCCGGCATCATGTCAAATGGAAAGACGGTTGTTGCTCAATTGAGCACTGACCTACCTCTCGTGGAACAAGGCCTTCGCCCAACTATCTTCGAGGTACTCGATAATCGCTTTGGTCTGCCCATCGGAGCACTTCTTGGATCTATGCCAGACCGTACGGGAGTCAGGCTAACATCAGCGCTCCTTATCACATGTCATTGAGATAGGCGACTGGCATGCCAAGCAACGCGTGCAAGTTATGCAGCTCCAGCGGCTCTCCCCCCAGATATCTGGCCAATACACAATCACGAGGTTATCGGATCTCCCACATGGAAGTACGTCAATTCTGATATCTTCCCCAACTTATCAACCTTCATTTCACAGAAGTGCCCTGTGCCCAGTGATTGATCTAGATCGTCGGTGACGATAGTATCTGAGCAGCTAAACTCAACACCCTCCAATAGTTCGCCTCTATCCCCTGCCCGCTGGGATTTTCCTATAATCCTCATCGCTGGGACATACTAATCTGTAGTAGTGGAATAAGCCGGGCAGTAGTCCGGTAGAGACATGAGGATGCGAGAATTCCGGCAGGAGATGGTTCTGAAACCAATGAGGTATTAGACACGGGTGAATGAAAGTTTACGATAGACTCGCTTGTCGATGACTGCAAGTTCTCATCTTCCTGAGCCTCACCAAAAGTAACATCTCCCGAAGCTTCAGCCATAGACCGTTCAGGATCGAGGCACCTGATTAACTCTCGAAAAAACGGACAGTTTCATCGCCAGCAAGAAAACTATAACATATCACGAGACAGAGCACCAGGAAATTATTTTACTTGACAATGGCCTCAGCTAGCCTGCCGCCAACCTCACGACCATTGTAGCCATCCAGGCGCAGACTCTGATGGAATTCTGAGAGCCGTTCCATCACTTCTCAGCTGCACCGGGAAGCTCACTCCTCGTCCCTCTGCCGCTACCCTGAGCTTCTACATACCGACGGGAGAACTCACAGAGAGTGCCGGCAGCGAAGATATTTTCGTCTATAGTTCGGAAGAGGTGGTCCACAATGAGACGTCCGTCATACCTATGCAGTCAATCGCCCTCTACTGCCACTGCGTAGGCCTTACACAAGCTCATTGGCGTAAATGCACGAGAATATTCTCGGGTCGACGCTGTGACCATCAGCTGTGAGCAAAACTCGGCAAGTGATCTTGTATCTGATACAGGCCCCGATGATTTCGGCGCATACGATTGGATTATTACTGTATTGGATCCTCCGAGGTGTTCGCCTTTAACAGCCTCTCCAGAATCCCTCGTACCTGGTATGAACGTAGACAGAGCACACAGAGCTAGGCGAGGACATACTGGTCCTCCTCGTGTTCCTTGCGGCTCCTCGGACTTATCCTACAAGCAGCAATCGCTCGCCAGCCCAACACCAGCAAAGCTTCCCTCACCGTATCACCAGGTAACCCGATGAGCCTGACTGCACTAAGCCGATGCCTGGTGTCTTGCTCCACTCCTGTCAGAGTGAGGTCACTATGGACCCGTACCTATTCCCTCCGGCTGTGGTCTCCCCTACAGCGCAGGTGGCAGTACTCCGATGCTCTCCAGAACGCAGTGCAACTTCTGCTCAACAGCCTCGCCTTCTTCAAAGGCGTCCACAGGCAGTACTTCGTCCTCATCCGCGATAGTCTCACGACCTGACATCCACAGTCCAATGCCACTGATCAGGACAGGTGACTACTTCTTCTGGGCGGTAGGACCAGCACGATCTTCTTAGGAGGGACAAGCCTGCCGAGCAAACCTTGAATCTGAAGCAGGCACTTATCCAGTCCGGCTCAAGACGGATGACCCCTAACCGCGCAATAGGAATCGAGAGCTCTCCCGTAGATAACCACGTAGCTGAGTGGATTCCATATCAGAGATTTGAGCAGGATAGAACCATCTCCGAGAATCTTGTCACATGAGCTGTCGGCGGATGACAAACCTGATGACAATGTTTGTTCGTAAGAAGGTCGACCTGAATCATCTACAGCCGTTGACGTGTCTAAACCCCAATGGTATGTCGGCGACTCCCATCGAGCGGATATTAAGAGAGTGCAGACCACGATCTTGCAGACCCGGTGTGAAGACCTGAAGTAAAGCCAATCCTCTGCCACATTGCATCGAGCTCATTCGAACCAGATAGTCATAAGGAACTTCGATAAGTCTTCCAGAAGCCTCTGCTTCCGAACCGTCCTCACAGCTCGGTACCACAGAGATAGTCTTCGCGCCTCGATTGAGGGATATCATCCTCGCATCTAGTATGCGCACACGAGAGTCCATCATGAGACGGCGCAGCTCCCGAGGGGAGAATCTGGGAAAGCCTGCATGCTCCACGGACGTCCGTTACATAGAGATCCTCACGCGCCAGTAGTGGCAGTCAAACGCCTCACTTGGCGGAGCGACGCTGTGTGGCCTCTCTCGGACGCCTGGCTCTTGAACAGACGTGACAGAGAGGCTTCTTGGTGAGTGAGTGCTGTGAGGAACTGATGCCTACCACAACGCAGTCGTCATCATACACTTACGGTCTAGGTCATCATCCAGGAAATAGCTGATCCCCCCGGGTGCCAATAGCGTAAGCGAGGTGAAGTGGAGCCTGGGCATCGACATTAGCGATGACAGGGCCGACAAGCCAGTATCAGAAGCTCCAACGACGACCTGTGAGTAGGATGGACGGCTGCTCGTGGGTGTTGAGGGGCCTACTATTCTCGCGTTGACGATGCACTTCTTGTCGAGTATCATCTTTTTCGTGAGGATCTTCATGGACTCGCACTGCGTATAAGCATCCCGTCTACAAGGACGAACGACATTGTTGATGTTGATGAGAGTGGCCAGCCGTGGGATAATAGGACTCACAGTGTTCCCTCGAGGAATCGGAGCCGCTTTCCGTGAGTCTCGAGAGCTTTCTCTTGCCTACCACCAATACTCTCCTTCCACTCTCGCTGCTGCCATCGTGCTGTAGGAGTGTCTGACTCGTCCATCTAAGATAAGACGCAAGCTATGTGAGGCGCCGACTAGCAGACGCTTCGGTTGCATGTTAAACTCTCGACAGGATTGAACTCCCCTCATATGAGTGTGTGAACACGTGTCCATACCACAAACGACAAAGCGCGTACTCGGGCAAAGGTAGTCGCGGTTGGCGGAATCCGCTTGATGGTGGTCAAGCCCGGCAGACGTCTTGGACGTAGGTGCACCTGAGATAATGATACGATAATTAGATGCCCTGCTAACATGTCATATGCATTCGTGACGCTGCTGATTCCTACTAAGATGATGGAGAGCCGGATAAACAGAGGGACGGAACAAAGCCTAGGCAACCCCTGAATGCCTACAAATTCATCAAGAATGCCACTTCTCCCAGATGAGCTCGCCAAAGACAGTCTAGAGTCATCGTGACTAAGACTGTTACTAACCGCGATAGACCTGCAGTGAGAATCCCTTTGGCCTCAATATCAAGTCTTCACATGAGTCGAGTTCCCAGTGCAGTATTGGCCATGTTCAGTATCCTTCTGGTCTGTCCGATGAGTATCGGGATGATGCCCCAGTGGATGAGGCGACAGCAAGAGCCAGAGCCCTTATATGCAGCAGGGGAGAGGTACTGGTCTACGTCGTAGCAGTCTGACTCGATGCACAGATGCATAAACGACGAACAGCGAGTAGCTACTGACATCGTAAAATGTCTATCGGATCCGCCTCTTTGTCGTTACTGGTGATCATCTCTACCTGAAGAGAGTCGTGATGCCTCTACCATACCGTGACGAGGCTTACCCCGATCATTGCAACAGGCTGAGCGTCGAGGAGGACTGCAATGACGATTACCTCGTCATTTTCGTACCGCCTGTGAGCAAAATGGTTCCTGTAGGGTGAGCAGACGAAAGCATACCGTTGCAAGGAGTCTCGGTGCTTGTCAGTGATGGATGATGCTACAGGCTCGAGCTTAGACCAATCGAGAGAGGCTGAGCAAAATCCCTGCGAGCACTGAAGTTCGGCTTCCGCGCTACCAAGACTTGAGCTGCGAGGGAGCACGGCGACTTCCCAGTGAGGGTTTCGATCGGTGAGTAGCAGTGGACTGCCCGATATCCGGGCAAAGAAAGAGTCGCGATGGGCGAGGTATCTGATCGCAAGAGTGAATAGGCTCCTGGAAGGGCTGCAGGCTCGTTGGACTCACAGAACGTGATGAATGGTAGTGCCAATCTTAGGGCGGATTTGGGTGAACATAGATGAGAGGAAGTTGCTCTGAGGCACGTCGTGAGGCTGCGTGAGGACGCAGTAGTTTTTGTCTGGGAACCTGAGGCGAGCGACTGACATTCAACTGCTCGATGAAGCTCTCTTTGCCTTTTGTGTTGTGAAATACGAATTTAGAAAACGACCAAAGTTAGTTTCAAGTTTGTGGAATTATTTCTCAAGCAATCTCATAGTCTGCAACCTTCTTCCTCACGAATGACTCGTTATTGTATGAAAAAACTCATGAGGTGGGGCTCGATGGAATTGAAGAACTCACATAGAAAATGCAGGCAGCAGGAAGTCCGGGCTGTGGCGTTGATACTGTGGATCAAGACAGAACATATTGATGCAGAATACGTCCTTAGCAGACCTACAGAATACCAATACAAGCCTAGGAGAGAGATGATGATGATGAGTCGGACTGTGGCACGTCGGATAGCCAAAGGTCATGCGAAGGCGGTAGGGACAGCTTAGCGGTCGCTGCTTCTGGCTCATGCTCGGTGACAACGGGAGGCAACTCAGTGAGGCCGCAGAGGGTCCTAACATTCCAAGACACTCAAACAAAGAGAGGTAGCACAGTCGCACATGATAGATGCGTCGAGTGCTTCAGTGCTGAGGTCATCTTGTGACAGGCCTCCCCATAGAGTGAGGACCATCTTCAACACGGCTGAGTCCGCCTAAATGAGGACCGAAATCAGCGATAGTTACGATAGATAAGATAGTTAGTATAGTTCTGATAGATGAGCATCAATGCCGACTTACTGGAAGATCACTCTCACTCAACATAGCACATATCCCATCCACACCGGAACGCTCCTTGGGCTCAGTGAGGGCTGCACCAAAAGAGGAAATTCTAACGTATCACATGTCTTCAGCATTGCTCACTAAGAGCTGCTGCTCCCTGGCTTCCATCACGAGTAGGAACTTGCTGACACAACCTCCCGTAACTGCCAACCACGGATGAGTAAGATCGCACTATGACTATCCTCATCACTTATACGTACCCAGTCGATCGTGCTTCCAACAAGGCATCCCCAATGCTTCGACGGAGGTCTTCATCAATATCAAGGAATGTGTCCAACGTGCTGGTGACCTCTCCTATCGGCCGGGGAGAGGTAGTGCTGAGAATACTAGTGAGCGCCACGAATAGTATTCGAGGTGCTTTTACTGCTGGAAGAGGTCTTCTAGAGCTTTCTGCAAATCTGCAGGGGGGAGGCTACGACAAGTGTCACCATCATCAATGGGAGTATGTTCAAGAGCTGAGACCACAGCTGAGATGAGCTGTGGTATCTAATCAGAGAATACAAGCTGCCAGTGTTGGAGGAATGTATGTTCGCTCCCCTCAGCTAAGATCAAAAGTTTCCTCGCTTATGATGGAAGTTCACACTAAAGGTCAGGGAAAAGTGTACAGGAAACCAGCAGGAATATCCCAAAATCTCAAAGTTATTTTCCCATCATGATAAACACATGTATTCGAGCATATGCATATCTCCCCACACTGTAAGCTACACACAAAAGGAAGTAACGTAGCCCACCTCGATCAGACCAGTTGAGACACTGCCGTCAAGATCTTCTGTTAGCGTAGCCAATACACTATCCAAGTCGAGCAGCTCTAGAGTGAATTGAAGACGGTCTCCTATTGATGAATACCCTGAAAGGAGGATGATGAGGAGGAGACTCGTCCGTGATCATAGCGACTACTGCTAGTACCACATGTCGAGTCTCGCTTGGCTCGCTGGGCATTACGACAAGCTTCCGCTACAAGGGAGCCTCTCGCCATTCTGGCGAACCTGTGATAGAACGCTGCAGAGGAGGCTCGTAGTGAGATGGCTGAGCACACGTACTTGGGTTTAAGTAAGAAGTCGTAGTCTTCCAGATGGAAACATTTGACCAGCACGTTTATCTAAGAGCGCCATAGCAATCGATACCGTCACGAGCTGAACTACATCCACTTCCGTCGTTATGCACATCAGCCCTACAGCCTTGCCTTGACCATCGCTATCATTGGGACCTGAATCGTATCATGCGGAGGTGATAGTGCGATTTGACTACCACAGGGTCGAGCGACGAGGCTCTTGTGAGACTCGTCTTGAGCCGCGATGAGCTCTGCTAGAAAGTACCTACGAGGGCTGGTGTTATGGAGAGAGCTCGAGTCGGCCTACTCGCCATAGATATCCGTCACGACGTCACTTTGGGCATCAAATACCTTCACGAGGTCATCATGGTCTTCGACTGTAGCAGCACATATAGTGAGCGGAGGGAAGGCACGCTCTCTGGGACAATGGTAACTGCTATGAGAGTCACAAGCAAAGGGCACTCTAGGGCTGTACATGCTGCAATTGGAGCCTGAGAATCCTCGTTGATCGAATGGACCTGATCGGTGGGTGTGAATCGACCCTATGCTGGTCTGGGTGCTTCCCACCTGGTATCTCTGTGAAGAGCTTCAAATAAGGTCGCAAGCCGAACGTGTGGGCTTCGATGGCTAGCTCCTTCCCAACGTGCCTAAGGAGTCCGGTCAAATGCTATGTGGCCTTGGAGACATCCTACAGTAGTAGATGGTTGACCTCTGGGAATGCAGCCAGGACCCATTGACAGACTTCCCCTAGTATTCGTGGTTCGTCCCCGCTTTGTGCGACGAAGTACCTCAACTCGTCGCTTCTTTCCTGCAGCGTTGATGGCAAATGATCTCACTTGAACCAGAGAGAGTTGTATTGGTATATCCTTTGGGCTTTGCTTAGGGGCCCCCACTGATGGTAGCTGAAAGGAAGCTACTGTGTCTCTTTAAGAATGATGGGCGCGTGGTTACGGAATTACACTAAGTTTCCTCGAGTATTTTCATCTTCACTTGCATTTGCGGATCTAAGAGGGGCAAGTTACTATGATAGTTCTCTTATCCGCAGTTCCCACTTTTGCCTAGTGAGACCTCGGTCGTCGTTGGCTACTTCAGTTCTTCCTGAAAAGGAGTGCTTTACTAACAGTTCATCCTTCAAACCCCATCAGTCGACCCTAACACGATCGTCCTCAATAGCTTTACCTTCCAAGACTGTGGGATAGTTGTCGAGTAGTGCAAAACCCGCAATAGAGAGGTTCTCGTGTTCCACAACGATAGCGATGGAGCTGACATGCATTGCAGCTATCTTCTCAGGTCAAGGGTCGATTGGTCTATTGTGTCTATCCCAGAGTAGTCTCACGAGTTTTCTGCCAATTCTGAAAGATCCTCCCCTTGGCAAGCATAGAAAGCCTCTGTGATAGATTGGCCGGCTGTTCCTCCACTAAGAAGAGCTGCATGCTATCTTGTCGGGCCTCACGCAACAACTACTGATATAGTGATTGTATGACGGGTAAGTCCATTGAGGTAAGGCGTCGTATTCTAAGACGGGTGGGCTCCAAGGGCCGTGCTGTGTCCATCGTCTAGTCACGAGGTAATTATGGGAACTGAGCGTATCAAGTGAATACAAGTGCGATGACCATGCTAATGATGGGAACGATAGAGGGAATCGTGTTGCATCCGGACCAGTAACGCTGATTGAGAACCCTCGTAGAAAGATTGCGCTGAGGCGCGCGCGATGAAAGAGCTAAACGCGCACGCCTCCAACGCAATTTCGAAGATGCTCGCAAAATCTTTGCGAGCATCTTCGAAATTGCGTCAATTCTTTGCGGCAAAGATCGAAGGAATTCAGAGGCGGATCAGACCATATCTTCCTTGACCCATCAATGCTGCCGTTGATCTGACATGAGGGGTATCGATGAGATTTTCTCAGTGAATATCACTGCATATAGCCAGTGATAGAATATCAATCCCGGCACGCGCACCGTCATCGTCCAGACATCCCATGTATGTGGTTCGGTCCCCTGTCGTAGATGGCCTGTTGATGGCATTCTCTCATGCGTATCTTGCTGTATAGATTTGTACTGGCATAGGTGAAGAATGCTTATGGAGCATGAATCGCGTTACTGGATCTCGCGTTAGCTTATCTTTCGAATCCTAAACATGCAGATGGAAGAATATCGGTCATCGTTTAAGTCTTTGCGGCCTGGTGACGGTTTCGACTTCAACCTCTCTAGGGCTAAGGTGAGTACAGGGCCTATCACAGTGTAGCTCCTTTTCCATGTGGCCTTCTGTTAGACAGCACCACGTGAAGATCGAGTAACTGTAGATCGGTCTCGACAGAAAACAAGGCCGAGCACATCGATACGAAGGTAACCAGAAAGTCCCAGATGAGGCAACTTCTTTGGTATACCCTCCTCATCTGGACTTCCCCATTGTCAGTCGCTCTCCAGCTGCTCGTTCTCCGTCCAGCAGGCCAGTCCGATCGGTCGGACGCAGTAGTTACATGCGAAGGAAACGCTTTCTAGCTCCAGTAAGGCCGAGTCTTGCTTGACGTGGTCATAATAATTTACTGTATTAGAACATATCTAACCCTTTGCTGAACCCTCAACGGCTTCATCTGCCACACCATTTACGTACCCCTCAGCGAGTAACAGATGGCAGTGCGCCCCTCCCCTTCGCGAGAGTGGCCGACCTGCGGGTGATTCTGGTGGTCCTTGTATTGTTTGAACCCACGTGTCTCTTCAGTGCCTTCGGAGCACGTGCCGAAGAGCTGGTCGACTCCGCGAGGAGGGACGCTGCATCTACTCAATTGGTGTATTGTACGACAACGCGGGTCGGTGGCGAGAGGCGATTGCCTATTATGCACAATTTCTTGGGGTGAGAGGAAGACTAGTTATTCTCTCGCTCTCTTGTGTGCCTCTGTTCCAAGTAGCAGCAGCGAAGGTCTACCAGCATTCGGCCCTTCACCTCTCTTCATTGCAATAAGGTCTTTTTCAGGTATGCGAGCGTTGTCGAGACGTGCAAGGGGAAGCCTTGGCTTACCATTGTCTAGGAATCGATCATCATTTAGTGAGCAACGCAGAGTTTGACAGAAATCTCAAGGAATCCTCCAAGGAGTGGTTAGCGAAAGTAAACCTTTTGCAACACCTCATTTTCTTGTTGCACGCGGTAAGTTACAGGCCTTGAAATTTTACCAGAAGCATTTGGAACTTACGGGCAGCACTGAAGGCCGCTTCGTGGCCTGTCTTAACATGTATGTGGCTTATTCCACGATAGGTGATGAAGAAAAGCGATTGGCCTATCAGGAGTACGTGAGCTGCTGGCTACGGCTTAATGAAGATTCTCATGAGAGTCGTTATCATCGATAACTTATCAGGCGCGCCAAGGAGTACGCTATGCAATTACGGCGTCTCAACGGCTCGGCTGATCACGCCGTCACCAGTCTTGTCAACCTGGGTCTTTCGGAATGGGCTAATAGCCCGGATGAGACGACGGGAGAACGTACGAGCGAGGCCAAGGAAATGCGAGTCCGTGCGGCGACAAGCGACTCGGAGAAGCCCTAAGGTTTAGCTCAAGACGTCGTGAGTTGCAACGCTGTCATCAAGAAGTAGGAAACGCGGTCGTCCTTATTTACAGGCTCTTTACATCCGAACTATTAGTTCGAGCAATAGTCACAGCTATTCACGGCATGCCCTTTGAGTGTGTGGAATATGATATTGCCGTCGGCTTTGAGTTGAGTGAACCAGCAGTGTTTTGTTCCTGGCGACCACATCACGTGTAAGTGCATGACCATGCATACAACAAGGACTGCGTGGGGGCTATTGAAGTTTATGGTACTCGGTGAAATCTAGTGGGATTACCAAGCATGGGTGATTCAGTAGTCATCGAGATGAGTTTACGGGACCCTCACGATTGACGAACATTCACAATGAAAATCCAGTACTCATCACGACGGCTCTACCAACATTAATGTCCTTACTCGTGTGTGGGACTCTACTCTGCGGGCATAGCGGCCCCATTCCCTTTACAAGTTCCTAAATTGTGTTTATAGTCCATATGGGGCATATCGACCCCATTTTCCGAATAGAGTCCTGAATGATATTGTCTATGTTGGGCATAGCTGCCCCATTCCCCGAATCAATTCCTGAATGATATTGTCTATGTGGGGCATAGCGGCCCCATTCCCCGAATAGATTCCTGAATGATATTGTCTATGTGGGGCATAGCGGCCCCATTCCCCGAATAGACTCCTGAATGATATTGTCTATGTGGGGCATAGCGGCCTCATTCCCCGAATAGATTCCTGGATTGTGTAGTCTATACGGGGCATAGCGGCCCCATTCCCACGGCGGTCGTAGTCCGGCAAGGCATTGACTTGAGCATAATTGAAGCTCCTTCATTGTTCTCCAGCTTGCTCGACTTGTATGAATAATTTGAGATAAGTAGTCGACTACCGAACGCGAGTATGAGAATGAGACGTGCACTAGCAGGAACCAGCTAAGTGCAAGCACGTCTAGTCCCCGACCCTGGATGTGTCGAGATTCGATTGAATAATACACTGCGAACTCCAACTCGGGCGAAGGGTCTTCGGCCACTCTGACGACTCTGCTTCTCAGCCTGCTCCGTTCAAAACATGTTTCGTCATGTTTCAGAGAGAAATTGAAAAGAGACGCTTGAGTTTGATCCTCGTCTTTGAACTATAATAGCTCACACTGTATCTCCCCTAGCTGGAAGATGCTTATCCTGTTATGATCGTTCGGCACCTCCATCATACGTTGGACCGAAAGGCTTTCGACCAAAAGGGCACTTGTTGGGATGGCATAAACCTTAACTATAGGGTCGGCCTGACCGAGTTGAAAGAACTGGATCCCTAGTCTGCTGGAGATGCCTCCGAATCCTGGGACACGGACCCTCAGGGGGAAACCTCAGATGATTTTAGCTAAATCACCGGAGGGTCCCATTGAGTGGGCATCGGAAATCCCGGCAACCATGAAAAGTATAACGAATAAGCCATGACTCGAGGCAAGGCGCACAATAACCTAGTGCTCAATATTCACGACTCTCACTCCCAAGGTTGCAGGTTCAAATCCCAGTAGGTCTATGCGGAGCCCCACTCCGGTGTGGTGCACGGACCATCCGGTAATAGCGGCGATACTCACAATATCGTACCACACTTCCGCTAAATTGGGCTAGCATTGTGCCAACGCAGTGCGCCGATCAGGTACCACACCAGTGATGGAAGATATGAATAAACCCACGGAATTTATAATGGCGGAGATCAAAGCTACCCGCCCGCATTGTGTCATTGTTTATGATAGAGTGGTTGAGGCGAATAGAGAACGCAAGATCGAGGAATGCTTGATGTCCTATGCTCGCTCAGACGCGGTTCGTGAAGGTAGGAAAATTTCGACCGCATTGCTCCTTGCCTAGCAGCTTAGCGTTTCAGATCAATTAATTATAATGCAGTTCGAGACTCGAGGCTCATTGGAGATGATGCAGACGTCGGCTTATCAGTTATCGACGAGATGATGTGAACGCTAACGCTTCGATGTTGAACCCCGCTCCGCTTCTTGTGTTATCGATCTTGCGTTGGTTATTCGGAGTCCGCAAGACTCGTGTGAGTCCCGAATACAACCTCTCGGGATCCTTAGTCAACCCCAACCCAGAATCGCCCCGGGGTATCCGGCACCTAGCACCCCGCCTATTCGGAGTCCGCAAGACTCGTGTGAGTCCCGAATACAACCTCTCGGGATCCTTAGTCAACCCCAACCCAGTATCACCCCGGGGTATCCGGCACCTAGCACCCCGCCTATTCGGAGTCCGCAAGACTCGTGTGAGTCCCGAATACAACCTCTCGGGATCCTTAGTCAACCCCAACCCAGTATCACCCCGGGGTACCCGGCACCTAGCATCCCGCCTATTCGGAGTCCGCAAGACTCGTGTGAGTCCCGAATACAACCTCTCGGGATCCTTAGTCAACCCCAACCCAGTATCACCCCGGGGTATCCGGCACCTAGCATCCCGCCTATTCGGAGTCCGCAAGACTCGTGTGAGTCCCGAATACAACCTCTCGGGATCCTTAGTCAACCCCAACCCAGTATCACCCCGGGGTACCCGGCACCTAGCATCCCGCCTATTCGGAGTCCGCAAGACTCGTGTGAGTCCCGAATGCAACCTCTCGGGATCCTTAGTCAACCCCAACCCAGTATCACCCCGGGGTATCCGGCACCTAGCATCCCGCCTATTCGGAGTCCGCAAGACTCGTGTGAGTCCCGAATGCAACCTCTCGGGATCCTTAGTCAACCCCAACCCAGTATCACCCCGGGGTATCCGGCACCTAGCACCCCGCCTATTCGGAGTCCGCAAGACTCGTGTGAGTCCCGAATACAACCTCTCGGGATCCTTAGTCAACCCCAACCCAGTATCACCCCGGGGTATCCGGCACCTAGCATCCCGCCTATTCGGAGTCCGCAAGACTCGTGTGAGTCCCGAATACAACCTCGCGGGTTGTCTTCGTAGAGACAGGCGAAGAGACGAGCAGGAGAAAAAAGTGGCGCGCAGGAGAAAAAAGTGGCGCGTAGGAGAAAAAAGTGGCGCGCAGGAGAAAAAAGTGGCCAGAGTGAGAAAATGGTGGCGCGCGCGGAGTAGGCGGGAAAAGGTAGAACTAATGTGCCTATGACTCGAGGCGCGCGCGATTTTCAAACTTTGTATTTCTGATGGTGTCGTGCTTCTTGCCAACAGTGAGCTCTCCAATACTTGTAGTGTGGAACTTGGTGGGGGGATAAGTGCCTGTGTAAAAGAGGGCTAGTGATCCCATTTGGCTCCCGAGGAAAGGTTCTTTACTTTCATGGTCCTCATCGAGGGTACCAATGGCCGCGACGTCGGCCACACCACCAATAAGAAAATCAGTGGTGGAGCCTTCCAGACCATGGGGCTGTCGGACCCGCTATTCAAGGCTATCCAAAAGATGGGGTAGTACTTACCCTCTTTATCTCGGCAATAGTCGGCGATGTTGGTAAGTCGTGAGGTCCTAGATACAATCAGCCGACGCCAATACAAAGGAAGGCAATACCTGTCATACTAGGAGGCAGCGATGTGGTGGCGATGGCAAGGACTGGGAGCGGCAAGACTGCAGCTTTTGTTATACCAATGGTACTACTGGGAATAGTTCCGCGAAGAACGTACAAAGTCGAGGCATACCACTGCACAATGAATGCACGAGGTAAGGCTCACTGCAGATACAAACCCTAAAGGGCCATAGCGAGGTAGTAGGAGCGAGAGCTGTGATCTTATCACCGACACGCGAGCTGGCCATGCAGACCATCAAAGTTACAAGAATGCTTGGTAACGCTAGCTCTGCCCGATAGGCCTGCTTTAAATTTACGAATGGTCTTCCCAGGGAAGTTTACTGACCTCCGTCTATGCCTTATCGTTGGTGGTCACAGCATGGAGTCACAATTCGACAGACTTTCGAGTAATCCTGATGTGCTTATCTGCACTCCCGGACGCTTGGTAGTAGGGGCTGTGATGGAGCGAAATGCCTAAGTGATGCCAGTGTGGTCATAGCTATGCATGGCTGAGTCAGTCGGTTGCCACCCCGGCGAATTTGAAGTTGTAATGATCGATCGAGTGTTGGTAGGTCCATCACATGGTGGAAGCGGACTTATCCCTGCAGCGTGTGCAGTACATTGTCTTCGATGAGGCCGATAGGCTCTTCGAAATGGGATTCTCTGATGACATGCAGAGTACTAAACTAGTCCTATTTCCCATGCCCATGCCTCGCTTCAGCTATCCTCAAAGCCACACCTCCTTCCCGTCAGTGTCTCCTCTTCTCGGCTACACTGCCTAGCCAGCTCACACAGTTTAGTAGGGCAGGTCTGCGATCAGACTCCACTGAATTCATCCGTCTTGACGTGAGACGCACTCATTCGACTCACCGCTGTACATACGTGAATGCTGTCAGGTGGAGCATACAATATCCGACACATTAGATCTGTGGTTCCTCTATACAACTGCGGACTCTAAACCGGCAGCGCTGATATCGTTATTACGCAAGTGAGCCGTGAATTGCTACCACGCCTCGTCGAAGGCTTGTATTGTCACACTGCAGGCTTCAGTCGATGGGGAACGCGAATGCAGACAGCTCGACGGCCGTTGTAGCAGCTGGCAAAGGCGGAAAGAAGGCCTGGTCTCCGAAGACTATAGTAGGCTCCAATCTGCCGAGCAGACCCGTTACTCCATCGCTCTAGGTGTTCGTCGCGACCCGTCACAATGTAGAGTTCTTCGCATCATTGCTCACACAAGTTGGCATCACCAACGCTCCTATCTACGGGTCCATGGACCAGACTCAGAGGACATCTAGCCTCTCCAAGTTCCGCTCGGGAAAGGCCTCGGTAGTGACTTGAACGTCTTATGAGCAGCGATGGATGAGTCGCCAGGTATTGTTGGTGACTGATGTGGCCGCTAGAGGCATTGATATCCCCCAGTTGGACTACGTTATCAACTACGACTTCCCATCAAGCTCCAAGCTCTTTGTGCACAGATGCGGAAGTAACGTGTATAGCTAGTAACCGATGATGCAGTGTTGTTATAGGAACTGCCCGAGCTGGTGCCAAGGGCT